AATGGGCAGGGACAGGGGACACGAGGATTCAGATTCGTTACAGCTTTCACTCTCAGACAAAGTCAGAGCCCGGTCAATTCCCTGCTCCCAGGCCAACTCTTCCAAGGCTGCTCCAGGCTGAGACACTGCAGAGCCTTGCCGTGAAGAAGGTGGAGATGAAGAATGGCTCACCAGAATGGCATCTCCTGCCTTCCAGGGAGAGAGAGATGGATGGCATTTCTCAGGCCTCAATAAATCACACACCTACGAGGCAGGCTTAGCCACCTGGCAGGTGGGCTCCACTGTCACTGAGGTCCTGACAATGGCATCTTTCTCACATGCCCAGAGGCACACACACACTTGGCCAAGGGGCTTCCATGGAGGTGCTCAGGACCAAGCCCTGGCCATGTGACTTGCACACACATACGGACCTGCACACTGAACCCTACTGCTGGGCATAACTGCAAGGTGTCCCCAGCCCGAGAGCCAGAGTTCAGAGTGCCCAGTGGACTGCAGGTAGTTGCTCTCATCCTGCCTTCAGGCAGAGTGGAAACAGGGAGGGGCAGCCTGGGGAGAAAACGAACTTCAGACTCATTATCCCCCAGCCCCACTCTTGGCTCCCAGCCCAATTAAAGGTCCCTAATCTGGAATGAAAAGCGAAACACAGCTCTCCTCTTGTCCCCGGCTTTCTCTAATCAGGGCAGTGGGCCCTGGCTCCTGTTTTCAATACAAATATTCAATTAAACTTTCCTGGAGGTTTCAGTAATTGGGTCCCAAAGGGGGAGGTTCCCACAGAGAGAGTGAGACTCAGAGACAGTGAGACCCACGAGGTGCTGACAGAGCTGCAGGCAGAGGGAGACAGAGCTGAGAATAGGGTCCCAGAGAGGCTAGAACTCTGTGCCCACAAATTCTGGTTTTCTCTGAATTGGCCTGAGAGAGGAAATGAATCTTCCAGAACAAGCCTTGGACCTGCCATGAACTCTGTCACATCCTGTTCATCCATGTCACAGCAGCGTTCTCCAGTCAGCAGCTCTCACCCCTAGACCAACAGCCTTTCCTGGGCATTGCCATGATTAAATCAAAACACTACAGTCTAGCTCCATCACTAAATCCTTCGAAGACCCCTTCACCTCTGAGACAAATTGCTCCTAGGAATAATCACTCCTTCTCCGGCAGTCACTTATCTGGAGACCCTTCGAAAGGAGAAGTATTCTTCTCTCTGTGAAACGGGAAATTACAGAGAGGAGAAAAATCTGGTCCAAGGCCACCTGCGAGTTAGGGCCTGAGCCTGACCAGCACGCAGGGCTGCTGGTGCCCTCGGGTTATGTCCACCCTGTTAGCTCCAATCGAGGCTGGAGCATGGAACAGCCTGGGTCCCAGCCCCAGCCCCACAGCCAACCCGCTGCAACACAAAGGAACAAACTTCCCGCCTCGACAACTCCCGGGAATCAGTTTCCTCCATCAGAAACTCTCCTGCAAATCCCAAGGGTACTTAAGGACCCAAGACATCAAGATTCAAGAAGAAAGAAGTAAGACCTTGCACAAGGTTATTTTTAGAACATGGAAAGGAGGTGAGGGTTAGCAGCTCTTCTTTCTTTTTTATTTTTGGTTCTATCTTAAGAAGTCAAGTTACAAGCTGGGCTGAGGGGGACGGGCAGGGGGAGACAAAGAAGGAGCCCAGCTGGCCCTCCTAATTACAAACCCTAAAGCCCTCTTGACAGATCTGCCTGACAGCGTGGGATTGACTCCTCTTATCCCAGCACAGGCTGCACCTGGAGGTCTCTGCTCATGACCTCTAGATGAAGGACAAGGTTGACTGGAAAAGGATGAGGGGAAGGGAGGGGCCAGGAGCCCCCTCATCAGAGTGGAAGAAAGACGCCCAGACAGCTGGCTGGAGCTGGTAGGGATCAGCACCCTAGGATGGGCCACAGAAGGAAGGGATGGACCTGGATGCTGGGGCCTCCACTTAAAGGAAAGGTATGTGTAGGTAGATTTCATCTAAACTTTTCCTGGTTTTCCTCCTCTCTTCACCCCCACTAGTTGGACTGATGGCTGTCTGGGACCTCTCCAAAACCTAGTCTATCAGACCTTCCCCAAAGTGCTGGGTCAGCATCTCTGGATCCAGCAAACCCAAGTTTCAGAAGGACTTGAGGGCTACAGTTCAGCCCAAAGATGCTCATCCATCGTAACCAGAGCAGGCCCAAGGCCTCCAGCCAGGCGGGTAGAGGCTGCCCCATTAGAGCCAAAAGTCACTGTGTGAAGTCTGTTGGGAGAGGAGGAGAGCAGATTGGGAGACGCTCCCCATGGCAGGGAGCCCAGGAGGCAAGAGCGGAGCCAGGAGCTTCCAAGGGAGTCTGGATTTGAGATTTACAAGTCTCTTGTTCCCATTAAACAAGACTCTAGGCCTCAAGTGCTCTGGAGAGCATCGTTATACGGAGCCAAGACACAAGGCAGGAGGAAACCTGGCTTTCTTGCGAGGCACCATCCTTTCCCCCCTGAGGCCAGGCTCCCTGACTCCCTTGTCTCAGGCCGGTGCTTGGAACTTCTCTTTCTATGATTTAGGACAAAGGGTATGCAAAAGAGAGGGAGAGAGCCATGTTTCCTTGGCCTTGAACCCAAGAAGGAGGTTCAAATTCTTGAAAAGTGGCCGTGATGGTGAGACGTGCCCAGACTCTCGGGCCATCTGTCTTGGGGTTGGAAAAACCACTATTTGTAGCTTTGCTGTCTCTCCAGGGTCACTTTTCTCAGTTGTTCTAGAAGTATCTTCCCTGTGACCCACATTGTGCTGGCAGTTCCCCTCTCTCCACAACTCCCTTTTTCACTTCCTACGCTAGTATTTGGGTACCATGTAAGTCCTTTGGTTTAGATTCCACATAAATCCTGATTGGGACGTCAGAATGTCAGACAAAAGAAAACACTGAACTCTGTGGTGTCCAGCGTGGGCCGTGCACAGACGGACGCTGACTGCAGCTGCTGTTGCTGCTAATGATGATTTACCTTGTATTTGTTGGAGAAGTCTTTTGGCCATTGATCCTGCTTAGGGATAGTCCCAGAATAACTGGGACTCTAAGAGAAGAGATGAGAGAAGCCCTAATGCTCAAGTCCATCAGGAAATGAGCTGTGTTAGTGGAGGGAAAAGAGAGATCCTAGAAGGTTCTAGACTAAAAGTGTAAAGAACACTTCTGAGATCAATTTATGGGAGCAGGGGGAGGAGCAAGAAGGAGGGAATTGGTGACAGTTGGGGTGGGCGGATTAATAAACTCCCAGCCATCATCTAGTAGATAAGGTGCAAATCTGGCAGGAGACCAGAGCTACTGCAGGCGATGGTTTTCAAAAGAATAGAAATGTCCTGGAGATGTTTGAAATCCATTTTATAATCAACAGGTATTACTGACTGCAAGACATTTGCAGGAATCTTTTCTTCTGTGACAGAGAAAAAGAAGTGCAGGAAGAGGTATATAGATGCCCAAACTCCATTTGCACATGGTGCTGTCAACAACTTTGCACATGCCATTCCCTCTTCCTGAAATGCCCTCTCTTCCTTCTGTACCTGTTCTTTGCTTCCTACTCCCCACTGAGTTAGGTGGTCCTTCTCTGTGCTCACAGGGTTATTGTGAGAGTTAAGTGAGGAAATTCATGTAAAATCCTTAGACAGAACCTGGAACATAACACTCCAAGATTAGTTGTTATCTTTCATGTTATTCTACTACAGTACCCTTCGCATTCCTCTACAAGGATCATATGGGTTGGTAGTCCTATGCTTGTCCATCACACCCACCTGACAGTGAGTTCTTGGCTAGCAGGAACCATTCATTAAATCCTTTTGTAGCCTAAGAACCTGGGATGTAGGATAGTTTAGAGCGTGGCATACACTAAGTGATCATTAACTGCTGAATGAATATATAAATCAAAAAATGAAAGCCTATGCGCTTTTGAAATATATTAGGAGCAAAACACGTGCCTGCCACCAGAGGTGGTCATATTCCATCAGACATGTCCCTTCACCCCTCACCCGCTGCTTCAGGCACTCAGCCAACAGCCTGTGGTCCACTCTCTTGGGAGAGAGTTCATTTTGCTTTTCTCCAAGGCAGCCAACATCAACAGCAACGTGGAGATGGAAAACAGACCAGGATCAATGAAAGTTGCTCCTTCTCCACTTAAAGGTTCTAACCTTTTTAATTCTGCTAATGAGACCAGCTAGGAGTAATCAGGAGGTGTCTAAAATTAGCTGTTTTAATTTGAGCAACAGGGAAAGGGACTGCCTCAGAAGGGGGCACAGTCTCTAGTGGAGGGGATCCCAGGAAACTCCAGAAAAACCAGAGCAATGTCTGGTGCTCTAGCACTCAGAAGAATGCCCAGGATGGACTCAGGATCCCCGTGACTCAACGCTGGGTCACAAATTAGAACAATTTACTCCTTAATTGGCCCCAAATCCACTATGTTTCAAGTTAGAGGCCCTGGCTACAACCCGGAAAATATTAGCTGGAGTTTGACTATGGGAGACCTTTCTCCTGCCCAACTCACCACTTTCTAGCTTCATTATTTTGGTTCTCATGTCCCACCACTACAAGTGAGGCATTTGGTAGGTGCTCCACTGCCTCTGCCAAACTTTTCCTGACCATTCTGGCCCACAGGGATCCCCATAACCTCTGAACTTCTAAGAGAAACTTGTTGTCTTCACCATCCATTTATTAATCCATCAAACGTTTCTTGAGCACCTAACCTAAGTAGATACTGAGATGGAGAGTAGGGATTCCCATGAAGAGAAAGAGACAGAGTTCTGCCATAGGGAGCTCAGTCCGCTGGGGAGACAGATGGAAACAAACAGCTGCACTATCATGGGATGACTGTTTATATGGAAGGAAATGGGACCAGGAACAATGGGAGCACAGGCAGAGACAGTCTAGTCTGCCTGTGGGAATCAAGGAAGGTTGTATTTGGCACTTAGCACATATTGCCTTGTGTTACAAGTTTGCGTTCTCATTTCCTTACTCCTCAGATATAAGCAACTTGCAGCCAAAGCATATGTCTTCTAATTCTTTATATTCCGATCTGCACAGAACCTTTCACAGGGTAAGAGTCCAGTAAATGTTTCTCATTGGTGATTGCCTAGGAATGTGAGATCTTTCGTTACAGCAAATGGTGACTGTTTCCATTCCTTTGAGAATCTACCAAATAAGTTGAAACTGTAAAAGAAAAGAATTAGGATCAGGGCTTGTGGAGCAACCAACGTGTGGCCCAGCGAGGTTGTAGGATCTCCTTTAAAATGCTTCAAACACAGGGAGGTTTCTCGGATGTCCAGGTCAGTTAAGATCTGGTGCCCTCTAAGGACACGGACTGGATTAGATGAACTTCTAAGGGCCTATTGGCTCCAAGGAATCTCTTGTGTTCAGAGGCTCCCAACAAAAGGCAAGAGACCAAGTCCTGTGAGGAGGAGACTTCACAGGTAGAGGGGTGCTACCAAGGATAAAATCCAGAGCCTTCCCTTGGCCTCCATGCCTCTCAGCTGGTCCCAGCCCATTGCTTCCATCTCAGGCTGGTCATTCTCCCTGACACGCCTACATCACTGCCATCTGAACTTTCCCAGACTCAGTGGGCCCTTAACATCCCTGTGCCCTCTTACCTGCTTAGGATACCTTTCTTCTTCACCTGAGAACATCTACGGATCCTTTAAGAACTAACTTAAATGTCGCCTCCTCAGAATTCCCTGACTTTCCCTGGCAGGATTAGTCCCTCAGGTCTCTCAGCAACCCGAGCATTTTATTTATATCTCCGTGGTGACACTTGCCATGTTGTACTACAAGCATATTAATTACTAGGTTGTTTGGGTTACAAGGACCAAAGTGATCTGGACTTCAAGGCCTGGGCAGTCTTCAGGCCACAGCTCATCTCAATGCTCACATGGAGGCTCTGGTGTTAATAGGAGTGTCAGCATAGCAGTTGCCTCCTAGAAATCACAAATCCCTGGGCCCCTCCTCTGTGGACTCACCGTCAACATCATTTGCTATCCCCTCTTCGTTCTCAACACCTCCTCTGTCCCTCCCTACTGTGTGATACTCCAAATCCTATAAGTCGAAGTCCAAGGTACTTCTCAAGTCTGTCCACTTTTCTTTGCCTCAATTGCCACCACCTCAGCCCCAGTGGTTCTCAACCCTGAAGGCATATTAGAATCACCTGGAGAGCTTTTACAACCTTCCAGTGGTTTCCCTCTGCTCTTAGGTTAGAGTCCACATCCTTGCCTTGGCACCAAGGCCCTCAGGGTCTGGCCCTCGCCAGCCTCTCCAGCCTCACTTTGGGCCCTCTGCTGTGCTTGCCACACTGACCTTCCTTGGGCCATGCCCTTCCCTCCTCGGGGCCTTCCCAGGGGTTGTCTCCTCCACCTGGACAGTTCTTTCGCTTTCTTCCTGCCTAGGTAACACCCCCTCTCCCTCCTCTAAAGGCAGCAGAGGTTCAGAACATGATCTCCAGAGCAAGACAGCCGAGATTCGATCTCAGCTCCAGGACTGGATCCACTGCACAGGTGACCTCGCACATGGCAACCTCTCTGAGCCACAGTCTCTTCATCGTGGTATTGCTGCTTAGGGCTGTAGCCACCGAAGGTGACTTTGGGCAGAGGCATCACCTATAAGAGAACAGGGCAGTAATTTATTTAGACGTCTGTCTTCCCACTTTCCGCTAACACTTAAGGGAGAGAATCATGATTTGTTAACCTGGTATCTGTTACTAGGCTGACACTTACTGAGTGCTCAATGTACATTTTTTTTTTTAATGAGAATGAAGGTCCCTGCCTGGGATCCCAAGTGGAGCCCTGCCTGGAGCTTCCTCCATTCTTCCGGTATTTGGGGTACTGGATCATCTCCAGCTTTCCCCAAACTGGGCTATTTACAGCTAGAGAATCGTGACTTCTTCTCTCTCTCCTCCATAAAAAAAAACCAGAAAGCAAGTTGGACATCAAAAGCCTCTTTAAAACCAACATTTTGATGACTTAAGGGTAAATGAATGAGAAACATACGGCTTAAATTTCCTTTATGATACACAAGGGCTCTTTCTGGACTCACTTTCCATTGCTGCCAAGCTAATGATGAGAGTGGAAGTTGCCCAATTCTCACATCATCAGCAGATGGTTCCCCATATTTGGAAAATTTTCACGTGGCTGGGGAAAGAAACTGCCAGCTCCTCAAATCAGTTCTGCCTAGTGGTGCTTTTGCCTGCTGTCTGTCTTATCTCGGTCTCATCCCCGTCAGAAAGAAATCCCACACCCAGTGGCCCCGAGGCCTGGGCAGCAGAACGTACCATCCTGGAGCCAGCAGCTGGGCATCGCAGGGAGAGCTCAGGGCCTGACAAAGATCGGAGTCTAGACGCTGGTGCGGCCGTGCTGCCGGCAAAACCATGTAACTGCCCTGAGCTTTAGTTTTCTCATTCGCAAGATGGAGAGAATGGTCCTTATTCTACCTACGATAAAGTTCTAAGTATAAAGGAGAAGACGTACAATATAATGTCTGTCACATAGCAAATAGTCAATACTAATTGACTGTGAAAGCAATACAAATATAAGGTCACCAAGAGTCTTAAATATTCTGTGAGTGTAGAAATCAGCAGCTGGCTTCTTTTGTTCCTTTCTAGTTGGAGGGAATCAAGGGACTGCCTCCGTGGGACGGAGGAGAACCCGGGAGACGTGGCCCTTGTTTGGTGCTGTGACCGGAGAAGAACCACTGTGGAGATGCAGAGTTTGGGCAGTAAACTCCCAGGACAGCTTTTTTCTCAATGCCGTGGCGTCCCCCACCCCAAGGCCTGTTCTCCCCTTCCGAGTCATCGGTGAGTGGCTGTGATTTCAGTGTCATTTTAAAACCTCCTCAACACAGACTTGCTCTGGCAGACAAAAAAATATCTGAGAGTCGCAGCTGGATGAAGCTGGCAGGGTTTGAGGCATAAAGCACAGATATCCCACAGCGGAAGCAAGGCTGCGTTTCCATGGGCAGGGCCATGCCCAGGGGGGTGCCGACCTGAACTCCGGGGCCCTCCCTTCCCATTAACATTTGCTGATGGTGAAAACCAGTTCAAGTGCACATCAAGCACAGCCGAGCAAGGCCATGGGGGTGAGGCAGGGTGAGGGCTGGGGAGAGGTGGCACAAGAAAAGGAGTAGCTGGGTGTTGGGTGGCTGGCCGACGAAAGCCTTGGGAGCTGCCTCCTTCCTTCTGCCTCCACCTACTGTTTTCAAAATCTCTTCATTGGTTTTCTAAGAAGAGCCTGCTCTGGGCCAGGCTAGGAGCCGGGTTAGAGTAGAAAACATAATGGATAAGGTCCCTGCCTTCATGGAACTCACAGTCTAGCAGAAGCCAGACAGGGAAATGAGTCACTACAAGGGTGCTAAGCATTTAGGAGATGAGCGGGGTCCTCCGGGAACATATACCAACAGGCCTACCTGGCCTGGGTAATCAGAGAACACCTTCTGGAAAGAGTGATATTAAAGCCAAGACCGAAGGATCAATAGGAGTTTGCTAGGCAAAGAGATATTGGGGGGGTCGGGGGGGTGGGTGGCGGTACTGGGAGGAGTGTTAAGAGCTGTCCAGGTAAAGGGAGCTGCATGTGCAAAGGCCCTGGTCAGTACATTAGCTTCGAGAGATTGTTTTCAGTCTCATTTTGCCTCCCTGCATTTACAGATTTACAGACGGATGTAGGTGTATACGTGGATGTCTGAGTTCTTTTCCATGGGGCTCCTGAGTCCCTTGAAAATGGATATATGTGGCAAGAAACAGTTGGGATAGATGATGTCACCTCACATCACTTGCTTGTATGTTAGAATTTTCACTCTGACCCAGGGAGATCCCTACTTACGTATGCTTTTACACGTTTATCTCCTCGACAGTATTGTCCCTGAGTCTTCCTTTCCATCATTCTGATGAACGATTTGGATGAAAATATAAGGATTATCCACGATAGTAGTTAAAAACCTGTGCTAGAATCAGACAGATGGGTTGAAATCCCTGTTCCACTATATTATTAACTCTTAGAATATTGGGAAGATGAATTTATCTCTCTAATCCTGTTTCTTTACCTGTAAAATGGGGCCAATAAAAGTGCTTACCTCATAGTTGTCATGAGGCTTAAAGGGGACAAAATCCATGTGGAGTGATTAGGTCAGGACTAGCACACACTGAGTACACAGTATGTACTGGCAATTTGGGAGAGAGAGTCAGAGCTGGGTCTGGGTCTGGGTCTAGGAGCAACGGAAAACTCCTTGATCAAGAAAACCCAGCTCTCAGTAGGTTGGACCTGTAGGGCAAACCAGCCAAGATAAAATTTCATAAGAATAAATGCAAGGTCCTGCCCTTAGATTTCTCCCTCTCTCTCTCTCTCTCTCTCTCTCTCTCACACACACACACACACACACACACACACACACACACAGTTTTATTAGGGTGAGACAGGGAAGCAAGCAGGACATATTTGGGAAGAAAACTTTTGAATCTTAGTAAATTGTAGGTACAACAGGAGGCTGTGTTTTCTGTAGCTGCCAAAAATCTCAGGTTGCATCATATAGACTAGAGAATGTGAAAATGCAACTCTGCTCCATGGGTCAAACCACCCCGGAGCGTTGCACTAAGTTCTAGGTGTCACATTTTAAGAAGGATATACTCAAGGCAGACACAAGTCAGGATGATGCAAGCACTGAAAATCATGTGACATAGAAATGTTTGAAGGATCTGAAATTTTTAGCCCAGAGAAGAAAAGGCCCCCAAAATGCTATCTTTCATTTACACAGTCAAATATTTATGGAATGCCTTGTAAGTGTCAGATAATAGCATGGAAACCAAAAAATCTCCATCTTTAAGGCGATACTGTGGTGCTCAGCCCAGGACCCCCTTCAACGCTGACAGACCCATGCCCCAGCCACTGAGAACGTTGAGTGCTGGTGGCTCAAACCATGTCCCTCACTGGGAACTGCCTTGGCCAAGGTCGTGCTTCTTCCCAGAGTGCGTCTGATGTGCCAAGAAAGGCCTGGCCTCCTAGCCTCACCTGGGATAACTCCAAAGGGCAATCCCAACTCCAGAGAGCCTCCTGGGACCAGAAGAGGCCTCAGTTGCAACCACGATGGGATCGACTTCTCCCTGCCCAATCCCACCATTCTCATTTTTTCACAGGGATGTCTCCCCATCAGAGTCTGGATGCTGGGTGGATGGAGAAGAGCAAGCAGCCAACTGCCGTATTTGACAGGCCTAGGGATGGGGGCGGCCCAGGCACTATGGGGGTCCCTGGGAGGGGCACCTAATCCACACATGGGGGATCAGGAGGCTTCTCAGAAGAGGTTACCTGAAATGGAATCCAATATGGGGCATGGCTGGGGCCCAGAAAATGACTTTAACCTCCGGCTAGTCCTAAATGGGAGTGGAAAGACCCCGGCTACTTATTATGAGCCCAGAGCTGGGCAGACAGCCTCAGAGCAGAGGCCTCACTCTGCCTCTGTTCCTCCAGGCCTCTTGGATCTCTGTCCAGCAGCTGTCCAGCGAGGGCCCCTTGTTTTCAGCTGCCGGACACCACCAGCCCCTCAGAGTGCCCCAGGACAGGGAGAAAGGATTCTATGTTTTGAGGATTCAGTTTTCCTGCCCTCCAACCCCCACCCCATCCTAAGTGAGGTTGAGCTCAGAGATTAAAAACTCATTCCCTTGCAGGAAATGAAGAGCAGTTGCCAGGACCGCCCAGCCGAGAAAATAAGAACAAGATGCCTTGTGCTACTGATGAACTTCCAACTCTTACAGCCTTGAGGGACGGCAGGGAGATGGGCTGCTATCCCAGGCACTCCCATATTTGTTCTCAGCTGTGCTTCACCCTGAGTGTGGGAAGTCCCTGGCTGTGGTCACATCCACAGCCATAAAATGTCCTGGCTCCCATGGCTATAAATTGCCCCATTCAAGGGCAGAGAGGCATGGGAGTGATATGGAGGGAGCACTGGGTTCTGGACCAGCTTTGCAACCTACTGGCTGTGTGATGTTGGATGAGTCTGTTCACCTTTCTGGGCCTTGGTTTCTTTACCTCCGTAATGAGATTATTGGGCTTCTGGACTTCTAAGATTTCTTCTACCTAATTGTAATTTCTGAGGAAGGAAACGGAAAAGTTTACCAATATATCCAGAATCTCACAGCCCAACAACTGAGATCTCTGAATCCCCCAGTCCAATTTCTACTCCTCTTCTTCCTAGGAGAGTGGAGGACTCACAGAAATCAGTGAGATATCTTTTCAAAACCAATGTGGTGTTTCCCTCAGGCCTCCAGCTCAAGCTGAAGACTGATGAAACTTTAGACTGAGAAGGCAGATTTTTTCCTTGCAGGTTTAGATGCCAACTTGGGTCATCTCCCGCCTGGGTTCTTTCATGCAGATTCCTCCCCTACATGCATAGAACCATGAGTCCTCTTCCAAGGTCCAACAATGTCCCCACCCTTTTTGTGACAGATGAACTGACCTAAAATTTAGGTAATGCATGCCCTTGATGTAGTCCAGAACTTCTTCATCAGCCCCAATCTAACTTCTGGAATGACTGGATCAAATGAATCAGCAAACATTTATTGAATAACCACTAACTGCAAATCTACATGTCAGACACAGTGGGGCTAGCAAAGAGTATG